CAAGTTTTTTGTTCTACTATTAGGGGAGAGTATGTTCATTTTGCTTTTAGAAATTCATTGTATGAAACTTGAAATTAGTGTCCCATTTTATTATATTGGCCAACAAATGCTATCAAAAGTTAATATTGGTGATATGTTAAAGAGGTTGAGCCTTACCATGTTGCCTCCCTGTGCCACGCCAGGAAATTTTTCTCCCCGGAATCGATCCTTCAAATCTACAAATCAGTCATTCGCCCTTGCATGGAGTATTGCTGCCATATATGGTCTGGAGCCCCTTCTGTTTGCCTCTGGATTCTTGATAAGATCCAGAGATGGATATGCAATATAATTGGCCCTCATCATCATCTTGCGGCCTCAGCCGAGATTGAACTCACTAATACTTTGATTGGTGTAGTTCATAATCTTGTCAAATAGCTGAATTCTTGATGCTTCGCTAGGGCTATCAAGGGTGTTTTTATCGTGACACCATCACTAAATGGATTGCCAACCTAGGCTCAGAGAGACTTCATTCACCCTCATCTAAGAGCAGGTTTTGAATTCAGTTTTCTTTCTCCTAGACCAGTTGCCATCCAAGGCTATAGAACCCAGTCTGTCCTGCTATTTACCCATAGCTGGAGGGAGAAGAAAGAGGATTTACACCTTTCCCAAGGGTATTAGCACATAAGTGAATGTAATGGATTCGACTGGAATTCGAACTTGGCTCTCCGATTCCTCAATCCAAGCCGCTATCCATTACTCCACCATGCCTCCTATATTGGCCTTGATCTGGCAACTCATCTGCAGTCGCTCTCTCACAAGCATGCCGTCGCCTCTCTCTGTCTTTTTACAAATACTTTCATAGTAATTGCTCCAATGAGTTGCTTTCGCTGGTTCCCAGACTTCACGAATTCAAGTGTCCTATCAGCCTGGCATCCCACCCTTTCACTGTTGAAACTATTAAATGTACCCACCTCTTCTACTCCAATAGCTTCATATCTCACACCTCTCGCCTGTGGAACTCCCTTCCCTATTCCTGTTTCCCTGCTATAATCTCCAACTATTCAAATGTAATGTCAATCAACATCTCCAGTTGCCTTGATCTATCCACTTTCTCCTCATCCTTTCCTCTATCACTCCAAATCCTCTGTAATCCCTTGCGTGCTAGGGGTGAAATACTTAAAAAACAAAAAAAAACTCATATTTATTTTTAATTGATTTATTTATTGGCAGCGTAACAAAATGGCATCTGATATGAAGGGGGGGCATTTGATGGATGTGTCATTGTATTCTTTCATTCAGAAAGATTGTTCCCATCAGCATTCATTAACATTTGTTGAATACTTTTGAAGATCAAATGGTGGCTGTGAGCATAGTTGGGTAGTGGGTAAATGCATTTCAGTCATGGAAAATTTTTTACAAATCTAGCATGCAGTCTATCAGGGGCAAAATGCATGTTTAATGGTATTGGCTGGAAGAAGTGTTTTGTATTTAAAAAAAAAAAAAAAAAATTTTTAAAATTGCTCACTCTAAAAGTAATGTTCTTTTCCCATGGAAATAAATGAGGCATTACTTTTGAAGCTACAAGGGTTATATATAAGTGTTACTAAAAAGGTTTTTATATTTTATTCAGCTCATTTCCCAAAATCTGACTAAACGAGATTTATTTTTTCAACTAAGTTAAACTAATATCTTTTCAGCTCTTCCTAGTATTGATTTTTCATTGTTAAAAAAAATACGTTGAAGACACGGCAATCATGCCCGCAAAAAAGCAGTGTGTCAAAAGGAGGTTTTTTCCTTAGACACCACTATTATTTTAACTACCTTCTTCTCAATATTTATTGTTTTAAAAGGCGTTAGTTAGAATTATAATAAATCCTTAATATATGATGAAAGTGAATTTATATATTTTTTGTCCTTGAGAATTTACAACAAAACTATTAAACACTTTATTTATTACATTGCTTAATTACAAGAATAATTTTATATTTACAACATTCTAAAAACTAATACAATGTATTATTTATCATTTACCAATTTATAAAGAAATATGAAAACAATTTTTTTATTCGTGAATTTATAGACATTTACTTAATTATTAAAATATGTGAACCAACTAATAAGATCCTTATTTACAATTTTATAAAGTTCAAATCTAATAAATAGTATTTATTATTTTTGTTGTCAGTTCTCAAGAAAAAAGAAAATGTATAAATTCACTTTCATATGTTTAGGTTTTATTAAAATTCTAATCACCACTTTTAAAAACAATAAACATTGTTGAGGAGTGAAGATAGTTAAAATAATAGCAGTGTTACAGGAAAAACTATCCTTTTGACACTTTTTTTGTGTGTGTGTGAACATGAAGGTTAAATATTGCCAAAGACACCTTTATCCTATAAAGAGAAAACAATCATAACTCAATTTGAATATTGTCTTTTTAACCTGTTGCACAAAACAATATATATTGTGAAATTTAACATGGTTGATATATTCAGTCTTTTTATATTTTGTCTTAAATCTATTGAAAAACTATCGATTTGTTTGGGTAACGTGTTAATGTAGGTACCTCCACGAGATTGCTAAAAAAAGAACATAGCATGATGAAAAAGACGCCAAACTTGATGAAAACAAAATTTTATCGTCTAAATGTTTGTTATTATTAAGAGGAAAGATCAAAGTATTTTGGGGGTATTTTTTTACATTTTTAAACGTTCTTAGCACGTCTGAAATTTTCGTTAAAAATCTTTTTTTTTTTTTTTTTTGAGTCAGCAAAATTGACCATTTTTTTCCATTTTAAAAAAAAACTGGAAATCTGACTTTGAAATTTTTTTAAATATCAATTATCATTTTTTCAAAACTTATTTTAAGAAAATCAGAAATTATAATGTTTATTTAAAATATTTTGAACCAAACTTAACTTAGCTTTTGTGCCAAAAAAAGATGTAATTTGAAAATAAAACAAAAGCAGGTCATAAACTTTTTTGCGTCTCTTGACATGTGATGAATGATATATTCTGAATTCCATGAGGCTAATTTGTTCTCTGAGGAAGGAGAAAAGTGAAATAATTTACATTTACGTGAACAAATTATTTACCCGTTATTTTTAACGAAAACTTTCAGCGGTCTAATTTTTTTTTTTTTTTTTTTTTTTTTTTTTGTACTTAGCTTTCACCTTTACGTTTATGATGCTTTATGGGAAATATATTGTAAAAGAAATTAAAATAAAACTGTTAAGAGTGACATTAAATTTCATATTTCTTAAGAAAGGTATCTAATTAATTTATAGGTACCTTTCTTATGAAATTTTATCAGAATTGTACATAAAATACTATAATTTTATGTACATTTATTACATTCTACTGTTATTTGTATTTGCATTCATTTTATTATTAATTTTGATATTTCATTTATGGGAAAATGTCGTAACTGAGATTAATATAAAAAATAAGATCATATAAATTTCATAAGATGATACTGATACTTGTAGGTACCCTTCTCAGTTGAAATTGAAAAAATCAAATTAACTTCTCCACACGTGTTTACTAAAAAAGTAAAAGGCCTTAACAGCGGAGAACAATGCTTAACTCAAATAACACAACTTAATTATATTCTGGTTGGTCTTCCGTATTTTATAATTACAGCTCGATTATAAGCACAAAATTACATTTCTTAATTACTGGGGATCTTCTGATTAGTCAAAATGATACAGTTTACAACGCTAAAAAAGATCTATCTCATAAGGACATTTATGAAAGCCGATCTAATTTTATGATATTTTAACAACTTAAATGTAAAATCTATTATAATTAATGAAATAACAAATAATTGTATTAAAAATTCATTTTTCATCGAAAAAAATTTTTTGCTTTCAGAAAATATTGTCCATATTCATAAAAACAATTAAAAGCAAATAAAAAGCATTTGAAATTAAATAATATCTTTGTTTTATTGAGTTTTGTATGTTACAATTCAGAGCTGATTTTCTGGTACTGCGTATCCAATTAAAAAAAAAAAAAAACATGATTTGCATTCCTCAAAGCCCTGTGCTTTTAATTATTGTAATCACTAAAACCGATGCGTCCAATTTCTAGCGTTTTCATAAAATTAGTTATTGGGGGGTAATAAATATTTTTAAAAAATATTTCTACCATGACTTTCATAAAAAAAAACATATTTATAATAATTTCGATCATCTGTGAATAGTTTCTGAAAGTTTCATTAACATCCGATAATTATTTCTATTTTTTGCACGATTTTTCAAATTAATGTGTGTCATACCAAAAAATGCTAAAAATTGTCTGTTATTTACTAGTTCCGCTGATACAAATAGAAACAAGGTTTTCTTAATCAAAATTTAGAATGTTCTAAAAAGAAGGAAAATTTTTTAAAAATAATTAAAAAAAAAAACTTTGGTCTTTCCTCTTAATAATAACATAAGCATTTAGACAATAAAATTTTGTTTTCGGCAAGGTTGGCGTCTTTTTCATCAAGCTATGCTCTTTTTTTAGCGATTTCGTGGAGGTACCTATGTTAATGGCAAAGGAGTTTCATGTAAATAAAATATATGTTGCAGACATTTAATTATAATGATATCTATATATAAAAAAATAATAGCTGTCTAATAATATTCAGTTTATGTCTTGTAACATTTAATTTATAAAAAGAATATTTAGAATAAGTATAGATACATTCACTTATTGTCTCCCAGGTTTTTTGAACAGGATTAGAGGTTTAGCCCTTGTTTCCTACTTAAGATTGGGCTTCTGGTTCATTTTAAAGTCTTTTTATTCTCTTTCACTCCAAATAACCCCTTGTGTCTTAGTGGAATTATCACCTTGCTTGGGGAGAATTGGTTAGAAGAAAAGAAAAAAAAAACAAATACAGGAATTGGTATTAGGAAATAAATGTTAGTATCTGACAATCATCAGGTTTTTACTTTTTATCAGTAGAAAATTTTAAAATTTACTTTGTTTTTTGTAATGTTGTATTTTTGAGAGATTTTTTTTTTTTCTTCCAAACAGGTGAGGATGCCAAGTGATGACAGCAAGTCTGAAGGAGTGGATCAGAAACCTACACCCCAGAATGCTTCTGTTACTTCAACACCAGCCTCTGCAGGTGGTGGGACAGCTTCTACTCCCAAATCTCAGTCTCAACCATTAGTAAGTTATATACATTGCCATCTTTCAGGAAGTTGCCTGTAAGAATTTCATGTTCTTGGTTCAAAAAGTAGTAAATTTTGCTAAACATTAATCTTATTAAACCTAATTTATGTTCATTTAAGATTATGAATAATCAGTTGAATTGCAAGTTTACCATTTCTTTTTCTTCATTACTCTTGCTTCTTGGGATACTCTTGAGTATGCTTATAATTTTCTTGTGTATATTGATCTATTACTACAGAAGACAATCTTAGATACTAAAAATATTAAGAATCATTTGAATTTAAATTTGAACAGGGTGTTCTGTATTTTTATTTGGCAAATCTGGTTTCCTAAGTATACCCTCTTTGTGCAATATTAAGATTTGGAGACTACTATCTAAAAGAAAAAAAAAAAAAAAAAAAACTATTGGTTTACTAAGCCCCTTCGTTTACCTATTTTTAAAATAAATTTCAAATCTGTCTATCAAAATTTTTAAAATTTATTTTAACTAACATTTGAGAAATAATTTTATACATGGTAGATGTTTGAAAAAAATATTACTGTTAAAACTCCTATACCAAACTAGTGAAAAATATAGTTTGTCCCATTTTAAGTTTCTGGGCAGAAATTATCATTTTCAAGATGATATTCTACAAAAGATTGAAGATGATATTCTACAAAAGATTGAAGATGATATTCTACAAAAGATTGAAGATGATATTCTACAAAAGATTGAAGATGATATTCTACAAAAGATTGAAGATGATATTCTACAAAAGATTGAAGATGATATTCTACAAAAGATTGAAGATGATATTCTACAAAAGATTGAAGATGATATTCTACAAAAGATTGAAGATGATATTCTACAAAAGATTGAAGATGATATTCTACAAAATTGAAGATGATATTCTACAAAAGATTGAAGATGATATTCTACAAAAGATTGAAGATGATATTCTACAAAAAGATTGAAGATGATATTCTACAAAAAGATTGAAGATGATATTCTACAAAAGATTGAAGATGATATTCTACAAAAGATTGAAGATGATATTCTACAAAAGATTGAAGATGATATTCTACAAAAGATTGAAGATGATATTCTACAAAAGATTGAAGATGATATTCTACAAAAGATTGAAGATGATATTCTACAAAAGATTGAAGATGATATTCTACAAAAGATTGAAGATGATATTCTACAAAAGATTGAAGATGATATTCTACAAAAGATTGAAGATGATATTCTACAAAAGATTGAAGATGATATTCTACAAAAGATTGAAGATGATATTCTACAAAAGATTGAAGATGATATTCTACAAAAGATTGAAGATGATATTCTACAAAAGATTGAAGATAAATATGAATCGTATTTATTGAGATTACATTTGCTCACATTTCAGCTCCAACTTTCTTCAAGCATTCGTCTTTATACTTGGTAACCTTTTTGGAATTTTAACACTAAATCCTTTATTCAATCTAAGGGGATAGATTGTTCTCATTCCACTTTCTATGCTTAGGGGATATTTCATATCAGCTAATACTCATCTGTTTTATTCACGTTTGTGTTGCTTGTTTGTTTCATCCACTGAATTCAGCACTACTAGTCCCAGAGACATTTTAATGTTTTTATCCACAAGGCCTAGTGGTTGTTGGTTAAAAAACATCAGGTTCCTTGACAATTGTGAGTTCAACCCCTTGTCTGGTAGTGCTAAAAATATCATATTCGGATTCAATGCAAGAAACAAAAAAGCAACACAAAAGCTACATTTTATAATAAACTCATTGACACGATAGGGTGCTGAATAGTCTTCAGCCTGGCCAAAGAAGCCTTTCCAAAAAGGAAATTTTATTTTGATGTTTGGTAATATTTTTGGTAGTGGGTTGCGTCGAGAATTTTTCAGCACCACAATGTTTGTGCAAATTTGAACTAGAACATTTAAGTAAAGCGAGATTGTTTAAAAAATAATAAAGGACAGAACGGACTGAGCTAACCTAAACATAAGTATGAAAGATATTTTGAATAGCAGGTGTCAAAATAATGTTTTATTTGTTGGTGTTATTTAGTACAAAATAGTTGGTGTTTAGTTTTAAGATCAGGTCACTTCCTTTCTGCTTCGTTTTTATTTTTTAAATCTCGTGTGTCTGTCATGGAACTGCTTATGTTAATAAGTATGGTCAGCATTTCTACCGAAATGGTTTCGCATAACGTGCATATTGTCTACACTGTATTTCTACTCGACACAACTTGCCTGTTAGTATTTTCCTGTATCTTGCGGAAAGCCATGCTGTGTAGCGTCTGCCATACCACACATACACTCCCGCCCCGTCTGGCTGCTACGGTCAAGGACGTTAAACTTACGTTTTCAGAATTAGCAGTTTTCATTGTTCCCATTAATAGTTCAGTGATATAAAATATCTTTAATTATAAAATTCAATTTTTAACTATTCTTGCAATAAATTTACCACTGACACATGCTATGAAGTGGACTTTTCCAATTGACCGCCATTATGTTAAAGGTCGGGGGTCACGTAAGAAAGGCAAAAGCTGATTGGACGGCTGAAATTTCATAAAAATTTATTCATCTGGATTGGGGTTTTTTGTCAATGAAAAAGGTGAATCCTACACCTCCATTGAAATAGGATTTATTTAACTTTGACTTTACTCACTGGGGGTATTTAATCTCCCTTACACACCTAACAATACATCACATTTAAATTTTGAAATAATGTTTTTCCAAATTACGAGAATAAAATAAATCGTAAATTACAGTAATTAAATTAATTGTTATTGATTTTCTTTTATCCCCCCCCTTTCTTTTATTGACAAATGAATTCATAGCTTTTTGCCAGACCAGTGTCTGCCTAAATTTAATAGTAAATAAATGTTCTATAAATGAATCGAAAGTATCCTTTCTTTCTCTATTTTTATTTTGGTATCCAAGCCATGCTCTATATATTTCGTCGTTTCGTAGTAATAAAAAAACAAAAAAAAACAAACTACAAAACTGTCATTTCAAAGTTAAAAAAATGTTTTAAAATTTTTATTTTAGAAAAAATGAGGAGGATATAATAAACGATAATATTCCACTTATTAAAATGTTAAGTTCAAGACTGACAATTCTGAGTAAAAGTTTTTAAATTAAAAAACGTTCATTTTTTTTTTTTTTTTTTTTTTAGTAATCATTTCCTCTCTGACGGTAGGTTACTTTGCCCAGAGAGAACTTGAATCGCAGTCGTACTATTTTCCTGTAGCAGTGTGGGTTAGGGAGGTTGGGTCCTCGTTTTGTTTTTTGGAAAGTATTTTGTATTGCGAACTTGAGGAAGCCTTACTAACCAGCATATTGTTATAGGTGTCATGGATTGCTTTCTCTATTGTTTATTGTTGATGTAAGAGAAATAGGTGTAGACTAGAGTGAAAGAGACAATCCCATTCACTGACTCGAAAAGGGGAACACAACATTGGAGGAAGGCTCACTTTGGAGGTTAGTTTCTTTTGTTACGAGAAGAGAGAGGAGGAGCGGAAATATTGTCAAAGGAAATTTGACCCCTTTTCACCAATGTAGGGTAAGGGGTGCTAATTAAAAGAAAAATATAGCTTAAAAAACCTTCAATAGAAGTATCTGTATATACCTAAATAAAGAAACACTTCCTCTTTTCTTGTATTGTTCTTTACAGTTTTTTTTTCTCAGAAGGCTTTAGTTTTTTTATTTTTGTTTTTATCCAAAATTTAAATGTATTTTCTCGGGTGCGTACGTGCTGTTGATAAAATTAAATTTTCCGTATTTTGAAAATGCGATACTTTCCTTCTTAAATAATAAAAAAAAAAAGCCGTAAAAAAATGTATTCACGAGTACCTAACAACTATTCAAAGTTTTTATAAGAATGTACAGAAGATTTTGTCACTAAAGTACTTAGTCAAAAATTGAAGATCGTAAAAAAAATTTGAATTTGTTTACAATGTAAATTTCACACACACACACACACACACAGTACGGTAAAGAAAGAGCATAAAATTAAACAATTTGATATTAGCTTTATGCATCAGAAATTTCCTTTTCCCGTATAAAATGTCTTCATGGGCATAATTTCACAAAACAAAAAAGTAATCATAGGCCATTTATTTGAAATGACGTAAATTTGAATGACATCAATTTACTACTTGGTTCTAAAAGCAGAAAATTATTATATCACTAGAGAGTAAATACTTTCACGAAAGTAACTACATGTCTCAATGTGTTATATGTCTGTATGTGTGAATTACTGTTATGCGTGTGTTATGTATATACGTGTGTGTTATGTATATATGTGTGTGTGTGTGTGTTATGTATATGTATGTTATGTATATGTGTTATGTATATGTATGTTATGTATATGTGTGTGTGTTATGTATGTTATGTGTGTGTGTGTGTGTTTTATATATATATATGTGTGTGTGTGTGTGCGCTATATGTATGTCGTGTGTATTATATAGGTTTGTGTTTTTTTTTTATGTGTTTGTGTCTTTATGCACACACACACACACACATATATATATATATATATATATATATATATATATATATATATATATAATTTTCACAAACTTTGGATGCAGCTTCCTTACACCAAAACAAGGACAATGTCCACATAAACATACGTCCACAAATCCTGTGTGTTTGAGTTAGTGAGTTTAAATAAAGTTTTCAGTAAATGGCGCTGTGTTGCCAGGTTGACTAGGTTACATTTGTCATTTGTTTACATTTGTGGCTAGTCTGTCTTCAACATTTAACATGTGTAGTACTGTGTTAACTGAGAAGTAGTTTGTTTAACAATGGTAGGATATTCATATTGTGAGCAGGCAGATATGATTGTTACTTATGGCTAAGAGAATGGTAATGGATGCGAGGCTGCACAGCTGTATCAAATTGCATTTCTGGACTGAAGGCAGCCAAGTTATCCAACCTTTGCTGCTGTTTATCGTCACATTGATGAGACAGGATCTATGGAATCACAAACTATGGATGAAGATAGACCAAGACCCATTTGTACGCATGACGCCAAAGAACACATTCTACAGGCTGTCCTCATCTTTGTTTTGTTGTAAGGAAGATGTCCTCAAATCTTGTAAAAGTATTTTTTTATACACCCTGTGTGTGTGTGTGTGTGTGTGTTGTATATTTGTGTGTGTGTTATATATGCATGTTATACATGTGTGTGTGTGTGCTATATGTGTGTGTTTTATATACAGCTTGCAATGAATAAATAACACATCTCATTTTAACAGATATATTTACCAAAATTACACAAAACTATCTTGAAATACTAAAGAGTAAATTTATTCAATAAAATCACCATTGGCTTCAACCACGGCCTCCAGACAACTTATGAATCTCCTGCAACTTTTCTGAATGGTCTACATGTTTAAGTTGGTGAATACTGCCATAATGCTTGCCTTCACTTCAATTCTATATTACAAGGAATTTTGTTGGTCTCTCACTCAACTGTGCTGCACATATAATAATCAAGTGGGGTTGCAGCCTAGGGAGTTAGGTGGCCAGATGTAAAGGGTGATGTGGTCACAGAAATTGCCTGACAGCCATGACTGGGTTCTCTTGCTTCTGTGGCACTGGCGCAGTGTCCTGTTGCCAGACATAGGGTCTTCCAGCAGCCACCCTCTTGACACAGGGTAGCACTACCTCCTCAAGGCACTTGATGTAGGTCTATGTGTTGAGCCTGATGACCTCACCAATAAATTCAAGAGTTCTTTTCTTGTCTGAAGGATCAGTGAGTTTTCTGAGCTGCCATACCTTCATAATTTCCATTAGACTCATCCAACTCTTCCAAATCCTATCTGAAATATTTGTATTAGATATTCTGCTGTGAATGCGAAACAGTACAGCATTCCATTTCCATATGGTACTCAACTGACTCTACTGTGTAATCGACAACATCTAAAACAAGCAACACTCATGCACAAAATTAAAAATATGGAATGGTAACCCCCTGTATATGTTAGAGCATTAACAAAAATGACTTTTTTTTTTTCAATAAATCATATTCTATATATTTTTGTATTATACATGTCTAAATGTACTTGATAGTTATACTTGATCTGCATGATATTTCAGAAATATACACAAAATGACCATCTCATTGAAAACTGCTCTTTTAGGTTTTTTTTTTTTTTTTTCAATTTCCAAATCTACCCACTTTTCCTATTTAATAGCCCAAAGTATTTCATTACATTGAACACAGTTTCTGATGTTGACTGAAAAGTAGCTTTTAGATAGTGCCTTTAACTTTGTTGAATCATTTTAAATTTGACTGATGCATGGTTAATAGTAAAAAGATAAACAAGAAAAAACTTTACTTTCTAAACTACAGAATTTTTTTTTATTGCTATTATTGAAAATGTGAAGTAAAAAGAACCCTTCATCAACCTGGTTCTATCCTTCAAATTCACATTTCTGTAACTTGAAATATATAACTAAAAAGATTTATTTAAATATATTTATAAAATAATTAGTTGTTTAACCTTAAAGCATTTGAGATTGTCATCTACAATATTTCAAATTTTTATTTTTTATCAATTATTTTAGAAACCCAATTATACTCTGAAATTTACTCTGGCTGGTCATACTAAAGCTGTTTCATCTGTTAAATTCAGCCCAAATGGAGAATGGCTGGCAAGTTCATGTAAGTAAAAAAAAAAAAAAAAATTATTTTATTTTTATTGATTTCATTTTATTAAATTTAAACTTATTCCTTTCCTTCCTTACTCTCTTTTCTTCTTCTTCTATGTGCCCTGTCTCTTCAGGACATGGCTCTACAACTTTCTATCTCAAGTGGCTCTTAGTAGGTTTTTCTCCTTTTGCTAAGGCCACCATCCCCTATTCCATGATCCATTTACACAAACCTGTCAGGTAGGTGGCTCACTGCCTTACCCTATTTCTCTTGCTTTCAATATACCCCATGAGGATTGTTTTCCAAGCCCTCCTACCTCATTATGTGTACAAAGAATTCCAGCTTTCCTTTCCTGACATTAAATATTAGTGTTCTTTCTGTTGCCATTTTCTTTTAATACTTTCTTGTTGCTTACTCGCAAATCCTAAACATATAAAAATGAATTTATACATTTTTTTTTGTTCACAGCAAAAATATAAAACACTATGAGGTTGTTTAGTTACAAGAATAATTTTATATTTACAGCATTCTAAAAACTAATACAATTAAAACTAATGCAGTATTTATCATTTACCAATTTATAAAGAAATAAATATGAAAGTTTTTTATTCATAAATTTATAAACATTTACTAAATTATTAAAATATGTGAACCAACTATAGGGAAATCCTTATTTACCTTTTTATAAAGTTTGAATCGGTTTGCAATTAACCAATGTTTTGCCAACCATTCCAATAAAAAATATAATAAATAGTGTTTAATATTTTTGTTGCCAATTCTCAAGAACAAAGAAAATGTATAAATTCACTTTCATCATATGTTTAGATTTTATTACATTTCTAATCATTGCTTTTTAAATTAATAAACATTGCTGAGGGAGTGAAGGTAGTTAAAATAATAGTGGTGTCAAAGGAAAAACTGTTCTTTTGACATTCCTTTGTTTTTATAGTGGGTATGACAATCCTTGTTTGCCAGGAAACTTGAAATTTATTATCTTTTTGTAAGTTTTCAAAAGAGAAATATCTTTAAGTCCAAAGATTTGTTTCTATATTTTCTCATGATTTTGCTGGTGCTAAGTCAACAAAGGACATCTAGAGCTTCTTCACTTCCATTATTAGTAAAACCAAATGACAATTAGTATCATATTTACTTTTTTTTTTTTTTTTTTTTTCATGGAATCTTAAAATACAAATTAAATTTTTCTTTGTGACTTAATTGAACTGGAAGTTAATACTTGCAATCTGTGTTTTTATATAAATGCCATGGTTTCATTAGTTTAAGTTTTCTTCAACTATGCATATTTTAACCTACAATCAGTTGTCAGGCAACATTTTGAATATTTTCATAGAAGTAAAATTAATTTTAAAAGTTACTATATGAAAGTAAGCATCTCAAATTGCATTAAAATCATTTAGTGAAATTCTTAACTGTCACCATTTGTCTGGTGATAATTCAACAAATTTTGCATGAAATTTTAATGAACATTTTTTTATAAAATAATAGATAATAAACAGGTAGTTATAATTTAATGAAAATTTTAATTTAAATAATGTTTTTGGATTCAAAACAATAAAATTTCATAAAAAGATTTTCTTGTATTTATCTTTTTCTTTTTTTTAAATGTTGACTTTTTAAGTTTTGATTTTATAACTACTTTTCTATCCATTTCTAATTAAAAAAAAAGAAAAGAAAAAAAAAACAGCTGAAAATTTTGTGGAATGTTTACTTTTTAGTACAAATGATGAATTACATTATGGCAACTGGTGTCAGCTGGGAATTTGAATAACTTTAGTCGAATCAGATGGGGATGCCTATTCTTTGTATAATCCCCTAACTTATTTTTGAAAATGGTGAATACTTTTTTTCTTTAACATCTTATCTCATGGAATCCAATTTGGAAAACATAGATCTATAGGAAGAAGTTCAAATATGTTAATAAGAAATTGATATACTGATAAGCTTTAAAATGTTATATTTGCTGTAATTCTCACCTTGAGAAGTTTGAGAACTGACAATTTTATTGAACAAATGTGGAAGCAAGTGAGTAGCTTTAACCACATGTGTAATGTGAGAGAAATTAGTTCCAGCATTTACAAAAAAAAAAGCCAAATGGTGTTGACAAAATCAGTTTGGGGGTCACATTTAATCCGTACAAATGCCATGGACAAATCTAAATATTCAATCAAATTTGATAATTGACATTCTCTTTTATCATTCACATTGAATGTGGGTTATCTTGGAGTGTGCAAGTATCTAGAAAATCACTGTTATTCTTAAAAAAAAAAAAAAATGCTGATGCAATATTCACTCACAAAAAACAATTATCCTTACAATCTGAAATATGTTTCAGCTTTAAATAACCCACAAAAGGTTGATAAACCATAAAAAAAAACAAATCTATCAACACTCCTGTTTATCATGAAGTTAATAATCAACTCCCCATTCCACCTGTGCATATTGTTGGATTTCATAGCTTTGCTATGTGTTGGGTACTCATTTGGTTATATATTACTTGTATAGAAGTAAATGAGTACTAAAGATATAGCAAGGAACCACATATGCTGTGATCTTGGCCTTCTTCTGGCTCTGATATTCCACTTTAAAATACAATTTCTTTATTCATTATGTAAAATAGAAGCCATATTTCTCCCCACATGTACTGATATTCACATCAATTTTCTGTACTGTGTATGAATTATGATGTTTGTTTTGTGATTATTTCTTAAAGTCTAACATGAATATGTACAAGTATAAATAGGAGAGATAAGATGAAGAATAGTTTGCTTTTAGTTTGGCTTGCTTACCAGGAATGCTCAAACAGACGAGAAATAAGTCCTGACTTTTTTCATGTTGATTATAGTCAGGTGATCATATTAAATGTTTGATATTAGCTTGTAACCACAAACAATTAAATTAAAAAAGAAATAATTCAGAACTGATCTAAACTTTGAAATTTTGTCTCTAGATATCTTCATATAATTTTTTCCTTCTCACTTTTTTTTTGTGTGGAATTGCCTATTTAGCAGAGAAATTATTAGAAATGTTTTTTCAGTCATTGATCATTTTGCTTTCATTAATTACTTTTTTTGCTATTTTGTATTTCAAAAAACATCTCTTTATTAATTGCATGCTTAGTGAAAAAACATTTTTTCTTTCTTTGTTAGAAAAAAAATCTAAATAATAATTAAAATAATCAAAATTAAGAATTAAAAAAAAAAATCTTGAGCTTTTTCTTATCCTTTCATTTGAATAACTTTTGTGGAATGTTTTGCATATTTTCATTTTGCCATATGCTGGGTTTGTAAAGTGTATCTTGTCTTGTTAGCTGTTAGAATAAAAGGTTAATCTTGTCTATTTCTCTGTTCTAAAGGAAATGTGACTGAATGTTATATTAGATATATGTTAATATGCTGAAAGCATTTTCTTCATGTAATATTTGATATTAATAATATGTCTTGAAATGAAAGAAGGGTCTTGTTTTCTCTATATTAAAAAGAAACTTTGTAAAAATTCATCTCTTATATTAGGATCAATATATTAAAACTCAAATGGATTTCAAAGATTTATCTTTAATATTACAGCTGCAGACAAACTTGTAAAGATCTGGGGTGCTTATGATGGCAAGTTTGAAAAAACAATCAGTGGACACAAACTGGTAAGTAATTTTTCCACATATTGTGTGGCAAAATAATGGTTTATGTTATATTAAATTCTTAAGCATAGGCAGATGCTTAATGAAGTGCAAAACATCAAAAAAAGAATTTTGTTTTTAAAGTATTTCATTTTAAAGTTAATATATCTGAGGATTTCTTTTCTTTGTACAAGAAAACTGAGTAACATTGATAAAAAAAATTAATAAAATCCTCTGTTGCAGTGGAAAGGATTTTAAATCATAATAACCATTGTATGATTTCATAAAAAGTATAAAAAGCAGAATGATGTACATGTTTATACTTAAAATGTCTAAATCTAAATGTCATGTATCCATTGTTAATTTACCTATTGAAAATGATCATCCTATAAAGTCAATGGTCTAAATAGTGTTTTCATTTGTTGTTCTTTCTCTTTTATGCCTGGCAAACAGTTTGTAATGTTTGTAAAGAAAAACTTTAAAAATCTATATAAATTAACATTTGGTAAAATAAACAAATTAGATTCAAATTATAGCAAATACATTATGAGAATATAATCTATTAATTAATCCATTTCTGACAACAACAAAAAACTCTTAATGCAAAATATTAAAATATGATAACCCTACTGAATAGATGCCAAATTAAAATAAAATTTAACTAACTTATAATTCATGGAGAAAGATAAAAATTACACAGCATTTCAAACACATCTAATTATTAATGTGCAAAATTTCAGCTTTTAAGCATGTCTAGTTATTAAGTTATCAGAAATTTATAAGTTATAAATATTCAAATTGAACTGAGTGTTTTTGGAGTAACAATCCCAATTGAAGTAGTAAGAGGAGTCATTAACAAATCTTCCTGTATCTAGTCCATTTCCTGTCATATGAAAACTATCTCGAACAAAGAAACTGGACTAAGAAAAATAATTTTATAAAATACTTCAACAATTTCTGGAATATAAGATTTTGGATTTACACTTTATCTACTTTCTTCTTTTCATTTTTTTTTTTTTTTTTTTTTTTTTTTGTGGATGAATATTATTATAAGGCCAAATTTTCACCCCTCAACCTTCCATAAATTAAAACAAAGTAAACTATCATATTTTAGTTTATAGAAAATATTTAAACCTTTTGGTAAGAAATAAATATCAGTTTGTTAAAATGTCAACCATTTTTATATTGTATAGCATTTCTCAGCTGATGTTAAATAAGATACACAAAAAGAATAATGGCACAAAAACTGAAGTCACTGAATTTTATCAAGTCTCTGCAGTTATTGATTTAAGTTTTCTACTAAATATATCAAAGAAGTGTTACTTCTACATATTCATATGGTGGGAAGGAGATTGGGTATGATAGTTATCACTTACTTCAAAAGGCAGCACAATGGTGAATTGGTTGGTAATAAGAGGAAAGGAAACCTTCTCTTTTTTTTTTCCTTTTTTTTTTTCTTTTTCTTTCCCTTTCAAGACTTTCTAAACACCATTGTTGGTTGGCAGACTCTTAGAAATTTTCATCTGTCCTATTTTCTGAGTTCAAATCTATGAAGGAAGTTTTATCTTTCCTGGATGATATTGTCAACAGATCAAGAGAAAAATATATGAAGAAGCATGTAAATAAGTTATTAGGCTGATTAAATGATCAAAATAATTTCTTGAAAATCAGTTTTGTAGGATATAATTTTGAAAGTTTATTTCTATTAGTGTTTTTTATTCATATTTGTGTTCAGTATCAACCTAACCTTGCCTGTCAACACTAGATTTTATAAAAATTTATGCACACGTTTCTTGAATTAGCTTAAATACAGTTTATAACTATGCCATATCAGGTTGCAGGGTAAAAAATTAATTAAAAAATGTTCTTTATAAAATGATTAAAAGCACAACATACCATGTTTGTCTTTTTCATTTTGTTATTTCCAATTTCTTTTATATTTTTCAAACAGGGGATCTCTGATGTAGCTTGGTCTACAGACAGCCGACTTCTTGTTAGTGCATCTGATGATAAAACTTTGAAAATCTGGGAATTGGCATCAGTAAGTTTAGTGCAATTGTTTTGCTCCTGCTTCTAAATTTTTTACTATAAGTAAATTTTCTTTTTGAGTTCAGTTATTCTCAACTTTTTTTTTTTTTTTTCTAAATTTTAGATACATATTAGAAATCTATAATACAGTTACTGCATCTTGTTAACTCAGCATTTAAAATTTTTATTGTGTAGAAACTATGAGAAGATTAATTAAACAAAGAGTTTGAGCTTTTTGTTTTTATGGTATCACACTTTTTTGACCATTACAGCACAATAGCAAATTAGCCTTCCTAAAATACACACAAGACATTTCTTAAAGACATATAGTAAACTCACTTGGTTGAGTATTTTACTCTTACTATTTGGTTGATGCTTTGGGGGTAAGACATTATCATATGCAAGGATAGTGACCTGTTTTATGGAACTGATTAAGGGACCACACATTTCTTCATAACTAATTGTCACTTTTGATATGTTTGCTGTGTGTGTGTTTTTTTAGTAAGGTGCAATCTTTGTCTAAATGGATAAGTGAGCAAACTGGATAACGACCCTGATCTTAATACATGTACTAGAATTTCTGTTAACAAATTAATAGAAATTTTAATTTTATGTGCAAGAATGACCTTCAATTTAAGTTGATATGTAGTATCAAGAAAACTTACCACCGAGTTATCTATTTTCTCATTTGGTTTATGTAGAGCTTCTGTTTTTATGAAAGTATTACTTTGTTGCATTCAACACTGAACTCTGGTCATCATCAGTGATCTCACAAAATTTGAAAGAAGACTACCAGGGGAACAAAACATGTAGCTTCAGCAAGCATCATGTAAAGGGTTTGTGGATATTACAATGTAAATAGTCCACATTGGAGTTGATATGTCAATAAACCAAACAAACCAAAACCCCCATATAACATATGCATACACATGGGTACAAGTTTCTTCTGTATATCTTGCATTACTGATAAATATTGTGTAGATCAAGTTAGTATAGGAGTAAGAATTTTTGTTACTATTTTCTGTGAAAATTTATTAATGGATTATACACTGACATGCTAGAAGACATCGATTGCAGTACATAAAGGTAGATAGTGCTATTGTATCTTTATGCCATGGGAATACTCAGACCTATATCAATTGTTCCCTGAAGAGTCAATGAACACTGATTAGATTTCTCCTGGCAAAACAAAATGAATTATCAGAGTTCAAATGAGCATGATATTGGGTGCCAGATTATCAGATTTCTGAAATTGTGGGGACATTTGATCTAACATCCCTTGATCAATGATGTCATGTCTATATCAGGAATACTTGATGGAAGGTTTTATCACCCACCATGAACAGCACATTAACTGTCCACAGGTCATTCATGATCATCACCAGAGGCATCTGGTTAAAATTGTCTGCAGTAACGGACAAGTGATACTGACTCAAATCCCATCAGCATTCAATGCAGGAGTTACCAGATGCATATTCAACAGGTCAGTTCACAGTTCTTTAACTTCCATGGAATACAGCACCTCACCTTGGCTTGTACTGTTGCTAATTGAACCTTGGAGGTCTAGCAACACATACCATGGTTTGATGATGAGTTATGGCTCCTGTTGCTTCAGGGTGATGATAGTTTGGGTGTGGTGCATGCTTCATGATGCAGAAAACTCCAGTTTTGCAGGCTGGTGGTGATTCTATAATGGGTTGGGTGCCAATATTCCACCTAAATATATTATTGGCCAGTGACTGCTATATTATACTTCTTGATAACTATTTGTGCCATTTCAATATGTTATTTCAGCAGGATAATGCACTGTATCATCAGGCTTAGGTTCACCAGATAAGCATTCTGAAGACTTCCAACAAATGGTGTAGCCACTACTTTTGTCTGACATTAACCCAATGGAGCATTTATGTGACTTGCATATAATGTCATTGATATCACATGAAGTTGCTACACTGGGCTAGAGGGATTTCTGTGCAATACTTGGCACCTATCCCATGAACTTTGGCATGTCAATGTACATTTGAAGAGTTTGCTTGAAATGATGTAGTAACATAAGAAATACAAGAAATTTCACTTGTCCAAACAAAACTTTGGAATGTAAATTACTTGGTTAAAATTTCTAATATTTCTTAATAGCTATCCAAGGAGCCACTCTAACAGAGATTTAAGTCATGTGAGTAAAATAAATTTTTAAATAATCTAGGCATTTTTTAATACTTACATTAAAAAAGAATTATATTCAAATAGGAATAACACATTTATCATACTTTTGAATAACTGTTGAATATATAAGTAATGACCAGTTGGTAATCTTGTTTGTATGCTTTCCCTCAAGTCTCCCCTCCTCTTTTTTTAACTTGCCTCCTTAAAAATAAAATGTCTCTTTTTCTTTACAATAAATTATTTTTTTTCTATTTGACATTTGATATTTGCTTTGGTTATTGAGTTCAGAACAAATAATTGCCTTGTGTTTTATTGATAATATATTATCAATATATATATTTTTTTTTTTTTTCAATTGCAGGGAAAATGTATGAAAACTTTAAAAGGACACAGTAATTACGTTTTCTGCTGTAATTTTAACCCTCAGTCTAACTTGATTGTCTCTGGTTCAGTAAGTAGAATATTAATTTTTCAATTTTCTCATATTTTGAAACTAAAGACATTTGTTTTATACACGTCTTTCAAAACTTGCAGAAGTCTTTCCTTTTCATTTACATGCAACAAAAATAAAATGACATCTATTTTAATACAAAAGCCTTGGAAGAGTAATCTCCAGGTCAATATTGCCTGCTAAGCAGAAACTGAATGAATGAGTACTCATCTGAAAACATAGGTCTGCCAAAATTGGTCTTTTATTAGTTATCTCAAGCTGCCCTAGCTTACAGTGCAAATATGTGTCAAAGTAGGAAAATTTATTTGCATTTCAACTGCTGATATCTTATTTATTTTCTAGGCTATTTTGATAAAACTAGCATGTAAACAAAGTTTAATCTTTTCTATTTCTAAAGATATATTTCTTTCTCATATGTGATAATTAGTCTTTATTCCCTGTCTCTTAATTATGTCACTATTTCATTGATGAACAGCAATTTTACGTATTTTCAAAGTTGAGGATTTAATAGTGGTGTTTTTTCAAATTAGTTGTGCTCCTAGTTGTCAGTCTGGACATATCAAAATAGCTCCATCTTAAAGAAGAAAAGGACATTCCTTAATTTGGTTGGTGAACCATAAGGCTCAAAGTTGTCATTTGCAAAAATTTAAGTTGGAGACTTTAGTAGATGAAATACCAGAGAAATTCAACACTTAAAAAAAATGAAATTTACATCTTGTGCAATGTTTTGCCTTTTTAATCAATTGGTTTTATATCTCTGCACCCACACAACTTGAGGAGCATGCAAATCAAAAAAGGGTATACTGTGTTCATTTTGTGCAAAACAGTTGTGTCCGACACCCCAAAATTTATATTGCTGACCAAATGAATGAACATTGCCAACTGAACCCCATTTTAAATCAGACTTGTTTCATTGAGTGGATATTGCAGCTTAAATTTTTTTTTGCTATATTTTCTTTAATGTTGCATTTTAAAACTGTATAAAGCAATTTATTTTTAAAATTCAAGATAGTTTGGACAAAACAAAACAATATTTTATTTTGTCCAAACTGTCAACTCGAATTGCTGTTGCCTCAGCTGATTTTCTTAAAAAAAAATTAAGTGAAATAATAAAATAAAAAATAAACTGCATATATTTTTATTTCTTTAAATTCTGCTCATTCTCATTTGTCCGTAAAAAATTAAAATAGAACTTTTAATAGTCATTATCTCTACAAATTAACTGAAGAAAACACATTTTGAATAATTAAAATGTCTCATTTCAAGCTAAATTTTGTTTTTTTTTTTTTTATTTAAAAGATAACAGGTAATTTCTGTTAAAAAAAAAAACAAAAAAACAATAGAAAACAATTTTACATATCTTCACTCACTAAATCTCCACTTTTGGCAATAAATGAAAATAATAAATTTAAAAATCTCTTAAAAATTCAGTATTTGTCTTTTGTTTCAAAGTAAATTAGTAAAATTAAGAAATAATTGACTGGAATTTATAAAAATAATTATTATTTTCTTACTTAAAACAGTGAAAATAATGTTTATTTGCTCATGGTAACTTGTGAGCAGTCATGACCAAAGTAGTCATTTAATGTTGACACTTGAAAATCATATTAAACTTTACATGTTTCATTTCTTAAAACATATTTTCATTTACTATATCTCTTATTGGAGGAATTTCAAAATTCCAATGAAAAATTACAAATACATTTTTTTTAAATAGATATTCAATGTAGATTTTTTTGTGTTAAATGTGAAAGAAAATATGCAAATACCAACTCTGAAGGAAAATTTTTTTTTTTTTTTTTTTTTATTAAAATTATTTTTTTTTTTGATAAGATTCATGACAAATTTTCATACTCTTGATTTCAATTGCATAAGGGGAAAGATCGGGTACTAACAACCCATATGTGAAGCCATTTCGTGATGTTATCATCATGTCTGATCTGGTTGATAAGTACTGTAATGAGCACCCCCAGGAGGTAGTGTGGATTTGGATTAATAGGAGAAGCTCAGCTTCAGTGGTGTGTTCTAATTACTTCAACCAAGTTCTAGTTAAGTGAATTGACATGGGACACGTAAATTGTCCAAGATATTTCCAGGAACAGTTGCCACTAAATGTTACAGTGGGAATTTTTAATTTAAAATACTCTATTAAGTCATTTGTTGTTGACTGTAGTCAGCAACTCAGTCTAGTTAGATTAGCAGTGCAAGTGGTGTGTTTATCAAAAGTCAATCGGGCGATCAAATCCTGTGATAGTGGGGATGTAGCCTTAGTTACAGCAAAGCTGGCCTCCTTGCTTATCAAGAAGGACTAAACTCTGGTAGTTAGAGCTTGGTTAAAAAGAATGTCTTCCAAGGTGACAAATATGGCCAGTAAATTGCATGCAGAGGAAATTCAAAATGCATTCAATCAACATCTTGTATGCGCCACATTGCTGGATAAGTGGACCGTGACTACAAGCAAGGGCATATGTGAGACTTTTTTAGGCTACCTACAGGATCTGTTTACCAGGGAGCTTGATCTGAGCCCTGCTCAGTTTAAAACATATTTAGCCGACTTTCTCCACCTCAAGGCATCTGAAGTGGCTGAGTGCAAGGGTCTGATTACAGTCTTGGAGATCTGGGAACCATAGAGCTGGTTGGCCATGACAAAACTCCGGGATTAGATGTTCTTTACGAACTGTACTTGAGGCAGTCTTTGTTCCTTTGCTGGAACTGATTTTTAACATCTGAGTGAAGCAAGGGTCTATATCTCAACACTTCACCAGGGATGTAATCAAGTTACTATGCAAGGACAAAAACAGTGGGGATGGGATAGGTCATTTTTGGCCTTTTGACAATGTTAAACACAAAGTTGAAAATTTTAACCAAGATCTTAGCCAGCTATTTGCTGGCTGTCCTCTCTAGTCTGATTGTCTCCAAGCAGACTTATACTGGGAAGAGCAGGACTATTCAGAAGAACCTTCATTTGGTATGCTTGATCATTCTATAAGTTGACAGTGAAGCTACACTGATCATTTTAGATCAGTTCAAGACATTTGATGAGGTTGACCCTTGATTTCTGGAGGCTGCTCTTGCAGCAGCCAGATTTGGGCCATATTTTTGCACCTGGATTAGACTTCTGTATGCATCCCTTGGTGCACTGGTAGAAGTGAATGGAGTAACATCAGAATCTTTTGTATTGTCTCCCTCCATTCATCAAGGTTGTTCACTTTTGCTTTATGTTCTTGTGTTCGAACCTTTCCTTTGCAAGTTAAAAACAAATCCAGTTCTATGCAGAATTTCCTTACCTGGTGCTACCACCTACACCAGGTATTCTGCTTATGCTGCCGACATTTCAGTTCTTATGTCAAGCAAAGCCGAAAGTTGGCAAAGAGATCAGAAGATACAAGATGGTGACAGGACCAAGATCAACCGCAATAAGTCTGTTGGTTTGCAGTTGGGCACATGGAAGACATTTTCTATTCCCAGGACTTTTTCTGAATGGGCAAGCCATTCAAGATACTGTTGGAAATGAATTGGTCAGAGGTGCAGGAGAAGGTCAAGTTGACAGTTCATATGTGGTTTTGGAGGAATCTTTCCTTAAAGGGTTAGGTGGAAGGATATGCTTCGCACATCTGATTCTCCTTTACTGATTCTTTGTATTTCCACTCTCAAATATCATACTAATAGGCTTAATAAGTTTCTTGTACTCCTTCTTGTGGGGAGGCAAAGCTCCCAAAGTATATCAGGAGATCTGTTACCTCCACCCTTCTGAAGGCAATGTGGGTATGCCTATCATTGGGATTCGTCAATATACGCTTCGCATCCCTTCCTAGACTAAATGTATTTGCAATCAGATGGGAATGGTGAATTCTGGAGGGAAAACACCTGCAAGAACATTTCATCCCTGAGAAGTGTGGACTTGCTGAGAAGGAGGCCCCTTGTTTACCCTGAGGCGAGTACTTTTCCATCGTGAATGACTGATTGTTCTCAAGTGCTTCTTATGGTCAATGGATGGCTTCTCCAACATCCAGGCATTGTTTCTTAAGGCATTATATCACATGCTAATTAAAGGGGTTCATTCAAGCTGGTCTGATAGACAGGCTCAGTCTAACAAAGCAGGAGGCTAACTCCATATGGCCTGGAAAAATCTCCAGACTCTGTTCACTGTAGTGAGTCAGTGGAGACCCTGGGTCACATCTTCTTCCACTGCAGGGTCGTAGGCCCATTGTGCAAGTTTTTTGAAGACATCATGGCTCACATATTACATGTAAAGTTCTTTATCCTCAAGACCAGTTCTCTTTGTATTATTGTGGTGCTGTCATTGACTAAAGCTGAATACTAGGTTCTTTTGCTTGTTATGTGAGTTGTGATATGGATGATGCAATAGAATTCCTTCTATCACATCATCCATATCACAACTTAGAATTCCTTCTAAGTTTGCCTCTTCCCAATTGATCTTGTACTTTAAGCATCAGCTTAAAGTCAAGATTAGGATGAAAAGGCAATGGCTCCCTCCATCAGAATTTGGCAAAAGTTGGGTGAGTCTTGTGTGTCTGTGTGATGTAAATAGAGCTGACTTATAGTGATATTTTGATGCCAGTTAGGCATCAGGATATTGGGAACTCTGTGTTGAACATTGATAACGCAACCTAAAATAGGGGAGTTTAGGTTTGTTTTTGGGTTTAGTTTCTTCTATCAAGTTAACTTAGCTGAAAGATGTATGCTCATTGGTCTCCTTTTTTTTTTTTTTTTTTTTTTTTTGATTCCCACTTTTTTTAGATTAATTCTCTCTCCCCTCCCACCAGATGTCAGTTCTCTGGTGGATGTGGGGCACCTTTTTTTTCCTCAGGTGTGCTTTTTGTATTTGTTGTTCTGTCAGAGTGTGTGTTTGAATGATTATTTGGATCATTTAAGTCTTGCATTCATTTTGCCCAGTTAACTGATGTTTCTGCTACAATTAAGGATTGTTTTTTTTATTACTACTAACACTATTTTGTTTAGTTTCTTGTATATAGAAT